CAGGGGGCGTGGCATATGCAAATGAGTTATGCTCATGAGTTATGTTCATGAGCTCCGGCACCTCTTTTTCTACAAAATGACCCAATTGCGAACACAAGAGAACCTGTTCCGTTCGCTCTTTTGTGTGCTGTGGACTCCAGGGTCACTCCCTGTGGTTTGACGGGCCTTGGGCCTGCATGTGGGAACGCATGTGGTGGCACACTGAGCGTGTGAACATGCCGGGAAGCTCCTCTTGCATTCAGCGGGGTCGCTTGCCTTCTGGTGCTTGCTGGTGCACCGTCTTCACTCCACGGCACGGAGTAACCAGACAGGAACTTCTCCTGCGTGTCCTTGAGGGAGTTCGTCCTGGCCCCAGCCTCTCGGAGTGCCTTCTGAGCGTAACTCAGGCTCGGTTCTGAGTGTAAATTAAAAATTCTTTTCCCCCCAGGAGGATATTTATAGTGGGGTCAAATGCAAACTTGCCCCAGCCCTTTTCTTGGAAAAGGCCATTTTTGACGGCTCTCTAATGGGCTTCTGTAACAGAGTCGTAAACCAAACAGCTCCCTGTGGAAACAGCAGTGATGAGCCCGGAATGTTCCCTCTCTCGGAGGTCTCTCCCCGGATACCACGTCGGCCTGGGGCTTGGCAGCACAGGAACTGCAGTGGGGGAGACCGCCAAGAAGACCAGAGACTTGAGGAACAGGCCCATCCCATCCAACACTCTCTGTGTCACACAGTGGCTAAAACCCAGGGGCCATCAGGAGGTCCACCAGCGGGGCCAGACCTCCAGAAGCCCTCCCACTCTTGCCCCCCCCTCAAGCACCAAGAAGACAGAGCATCACTGCCCCAGACATAAGAAAAGCCAATGTTGGATCAGGCCGATGGCCCCTCCAGTCCAACACTCTGTGTCACACAGTGGCCAAAAAATACCAGGTGCCATCAGGAGGTCCACCAGTAGGGCCAGGACACTAGGAGCCCTCCCACTGTTGCCCCCCCCCCAAGCACCAAGAAGACAGAGCATCCCTTGCCCCAGACTGAGAGAAGAAGAAGAGGAGGAGGAGGAGGAGGAGATTGGATTTATACCCCATGGCCCTTCACTACCCAAGGGAGTCTCAGAGTGGCTTACAAACTCCTTTCCCTTCCCCTCCCCACATCAGACACCCTGTGAGGTAGGCGGGGCTGAGAGAGCTCTTTCAAGGACTGCTCCTGAGAGAACAGCTCTGACAGAACTATGGCTTGCCCAAGGTCATCCAGCAGCTGCGAGTGGAGGAATGGGGAATCAAACACGGTTCTCCCAGATTAGAGTCCGCGCACTTTACCACGACACCAAACAGGCTCTAGAGAGTTCCCTCTAGACCCTGTGGCTCATAGCCACTGATAGACCTCTGCTCCATGTGTTCATCCAATCCCCTCTTGAAGCTGTCTGTGCCTGTAGCCACCACCGTTTTCTGTGGCAGTGAATTCCACGTGTTAATGACTCTTTCATCTCTTCTAAGCCTACTGCTCATTAGCTTCATGGAGTGCCCACGACGTCTTGTCTCGTGAGAAAGGAAGAAACGTACTTCTTTCTCTACCTTCTCTAACCCATGGATAATTTTGTAATGTCACATTACAGGTCACCCCCTCAGTCGTCGTTTCTCCAAGCCAAAGAGACCTCACCTCCTAGAAGGGCTTCTGTCCACCCCCCTCTCTCCTTACTTCCATGCTGAGTTTTGAAGCTCTGGCCTGGCGACGGACCCTTCTGTCAGCAAAGGCACCAGTCCCTGAGCCCCAAGGAGCTGACAGGGTATTTCTGGACACAGGGAAAGGAAGGGCGGGCAAGGCTAATAAGGGATGGCTGGGGGCCTCTCCATGGCTCAGAGGCAGGGCCGGCTCACTCACTAGGCCAACTAGGCAATCGCCAAGAGCGGGCCGGCCCTCAGGGGCGCCAAGCTGCACCCGCCCCGTACTCTGGGAGTTTCTTGATTATTTGTGTTTCTCATTCTTCCTAAAATGCATTTATTTTTGAAAATTGGTGGGTGCATGGCGGGGGGGGGGCGGCAGAAGGGATCCTTGCCTACGGTGCAAAATAAGCTGGGGCCGGCCCTGCTCAGAGGGTGTAATGTATCCATCTCCGACCGCGTGTGTGGCTAAGTCGCCACGCGGTCATGCAAAGCGGCCGAGCTTCACTCGCAGTAACAATGGGACAAGCAAATCCTAGCCGGCACCTATCGGCGGGCTAGGCTCCCGGCTGAGAGCCTATGGAACTCTCGGCCACTGTAAATAGCCAATCGTGTGTGGGTGTGTTTTGGGTGTGGGATTGTTGCACATATAAACCGGCCTGTGAGCTGGTTAGAGTTGTCTTGTTCCTGACTAATAAAAGTATGAGAGCTGAAATCGCTAGTAAGTCTCAGTACTTTTCAGTGGCAGAGCCTCTGCTTGGCCTGCAGGAGGTCCCAGGTTCAATCCCCGGCATCTCCAGTTAAAAGGACCAGGCAGGAGGGGATGGGAAAGACCTCCACCTGAGACCCTGGAGAGCTGTCAAGAGGGAATGTGGCTCAGTGGAAGAACCTCTGCTTGGCATGCAGAAGGTCCCAGGTTCAGTCCTCGGCATCTCCAGTTAAAAGGACCAGGCAGGAGGTGATGGGAAAGACTTCTGCCTGAGACCCTGGAGAGCTGTAAAGAGGGGCCGTGGCTCAGTGGCAGAGCATCAGCTTGGCATGCAGGAGGTCCCAGGTTCAGTCCTCCCCGGCATCTCCAGTTAAAAGGACCAGGCAGAAGGTGATGGGAAAGACCTGGAGAGCCACTGCCAGTCTGAGTAGGCAACAGACCCAGGGTCTGACTAGTAGGAGACAGCCTCGTGTATAATGTGGGCCTTCTGCCACTCAATCGCATGTCCTTCAGAACAGCCCGCCCACAGTTTTGTCTGCTGCATGAGCGAACCAAGGGCCTCTGGGACGCTCAAAAAGCAGGGTGAATAGGGGAGGCCCTCCCCCCCAGGGGTGCCCCCAGCAACTGGAACAAGAGGGTACCAATTCTGTAAGCCGCCCTGAGCCCACTTGTGGGGAGGGCGGGGTATAAACAGAATAAAATAAATAAATAAATAGCGGGCGTGCAATTGAATTAAATCGATCACTCGCGCACCAGGGACGCTCCCAGGCGGAGGATGGAAGCGAGGGGATTTCACTCCCGGCATTCAGGAGCGCCCTGCCTCCGAACACGGAGGCCCGTTTACCTGTCATGGCTCATGGCGAGGCTAACAGCTGTGAGGAAGCATCCCCCCAACCCCAACCCCCATTAGCCTTGGGCAGGGGGGCAGGGGGTGTCTCAGCACCTCCCAAGAAGCTTCTGCCGTGAGCCTGTCTCTCCGTGTGGATGACAGCACAGATTTCGAGCCCCGCTCATCTGTTGAGAAGGGCTAGCAGCAAAACGGCATCATCGATGCCCCCCCCCCGCAACATACACCCCCCCTTTTCCCCCACACAGAAAACATTTCACAGCTACACGGAGGTTCCATTTTGTGACGCTCGCCCCCCCTTCTCTGCTCCCCCCCCCCCCCCAAACCCTCTTCCCCCCCCCCGGCTGGCCCACCTCT